ACAGCGTGAGTATAAGAGGCAGCAGGTGCACCGCATTCATTCTACCTTTCGCTTCGGAGCCGAGCGGTAGTGCATCACTACTGCTCTCTACTTCGGTGTTGCAAGCAGAGAGCCAGCGAGTGCGGGCGTTACGGCACAGCAGCGGTGGCCACAGTCGCACGGCGGGAACAGAGATCATCGTTGTGCAGACAGCCACACCAGGAGTGTGCGGTGGCCAGCTCCCCTGCGTGCTTCAGCACAAGAGAATTTCTCTAAAAGAGCAACACGGGTGATCGTGTCTTTTTAAACACCCGTGCGTTTCTGGGTGCGGTCGCTATCTGGTGCCTCGGGACGGTCACGATCGCTGTCTCACGTGTCTGGGCATTGAGCACGCTGAGCAAGCGTTCGTGGATGGTGCATGTTCTATTTGTGGGGACATGACCGTCTTGGAGTTGCATGAAAGACTATTACGGGCGAGCTCTCTCTCTCCGGGGATGACGACCCGGCTGCATTGCCCCCTTCGGGTGTGACAGCGTTGTCTGAGCCAGACCCAGAGATGAAGGCTATGCTTTCCTGGGCCGCCGAGAATGTCGGGCTCGTGTGGAATCCTCCACCACATCCCGATCCTTTGAGGCTGGAAGAGTGGTTTCTCGGTGGAGGTCGCGCTGGTTCTCAGCGCCCCCCTCCGGTGCCATTCTTCCCGGAGGTGCATGAGGAGCTCACAAGTCAAGTCAAGTCAAGTCACCTTTATTTATATAGCGCTTTTAACAATACAGATTGTGTCAAAGCAACTGAACAGCATTAATTAGGAAAATCGGGCAGTCCTTTATGAACTGCGTGCTGCAACGGACCTCACGCTTCAAGCGATGAAGGTGACCGCACAGTCCCTGGGTCGTGCGATGTCCACGTTAGTGGTCCAGGAGTGCCATCTCTGGCTGTGTCTGGCCGACATGAAGGAGCGTGATAAGGTACAGTTCCTGAATGCTCCCGTGTCTCAGACCGGCGTTTTCGGCGACGCTGTCGAGAGCTTCGCCCAGCAGTTCTCGGAGGCACAGCAGCAGACGGAGGCGATTAAACACATCCTGCGCCGGAGGAAACCTGCTGCTTCCGTCCTGGCTGCAGCCCCTCAGCCTGCTCGTCGCCGTGGGTGCCCCCCTGTGGCTGCCCCCGCTCCCACGCAGCAGCAGCAGCAGCCTTCCACCAGGCAGCATCGTGGAGCCGGTCGCAGGCAGGACACCCCTGTAAGTATTCATCAGGTTTAACTGGCAGTGCTTACAGAGCTTGTGGGGAGGCGGCTTCTGCCCTCCATGCCATGGCGTTACTGCAGGTCCATCAGGCCAAAGCCCTGAAAGACCTACACGAGGGTGATCACAACCGGGCAATTCTACATGAACTGCATGCTGCGACTGACCTCGCGCTTCAAGCGACGAAGATGACCGCACAGTCCCTGGGTCGTGCGATGTCCACGTTAGTGGTCCAGGAGTGCCATCTCTGGCTGTGTCTGGCCGACATGAAGGAGCGTGATAAGGTACAGTTCCTGAATGCTCCCGTGTCTCAGACCGGCGTTTTCGGCGACGCTGTCGAGAGCTTCGCCCAGCAGTTCTCGGAGGCACAGCAGCAGACGGAGGCGATTAAACACATCCTGCGCCGGAGGAAACCTGCTGCTTCCGTCCTGGCTGCAGCCCCTCAGCCTGCTCGTCGCCGTGGGTGCCCCCCTGTGGCTGCCCCCGCTCCCACGCAGCAGCAGCAGCAGCCTTCCACCAGGCAGCGTCATGGAGCCGGTCGCAGGCAGGACACCCAGCCCGTCCAGGCCCCCGCCAAACCAGATGGCAAGAGGCCCTGAGACGGGCGACCCGGAGATGGAGGAGACTGCTCGTCGGGAGATGGTGACCGCAACACTCCCTCCCCCGGAGGAGGGCCGGGCGGAGAATCTTTTCATCTTTTTCCACCACTG